CATGCTCATGAAAGGTATAATTAATAGTTCGCGAGATAAAAATTCTTAAAAAAAGTGAATTTAAGTTTATTAAAAGTTTATTAAAGGTTTTATAAAAAAACGATTCAAACTTTAACAAAGAAACCTTAAAAAATAACAATTTTTTAATTTTTTTTTTTTTTTTCAATTGTATTTTTCTGAAAGACCAAGCTACCAACGATGAAGATCGATGGACAAATATACAACTTTTGAATGGTCAAATGTGTAATAATTTTGGTACGAAATTAAAGCAGGAAATAATGTTGCTCATACGCCATATCGTATATAGCGGTCCTGTCAACACATTCCTACATGGCGTATGAGTAACATTTTCCATGCTTCATTCGCAATGCAAACTTAAAATGAATACTTCGTGGGAAAATTACCTAATTTAGAAAAAAGCAAACAAATCCGTAATCTACGACTCAAAATTAAGTTTACGTTCCTCGTCCTTCACTTCAGCATTAATAACTTATTTACATTATTTATAATTTTCACTAACAAATTGATTGTTATACATTTGTTGTCTATAAATTAAGCTGCAATAATTCCAACTCCCATAATTTACTTGCTTCTAAATGACTGTACTTACTGCCTAATCGCCATAATATGTTTACATAATTAATTAATATTCAATCAGCATTACTCGTCAGTGCTACAAGCAAATGTCAACAGGCATTGTGGCCAGAAGTTGGTAATTGTACGCACATACGCACATAGCTGCGCAATCAAATATAAAATAACTGAAATATTAATGTACTTTGTGTAAACCATAGACCGCAAACCACATGAATGCATTTACCTACACGTGTAACTGAGCATTTTGTACTGGTGTGTATGCCTCTGTGTTTGGAGTACCGCAAGCAACCCGGCAGTTAAAAATTAAACTCTGATCTATAAGATGAACTAGTACACTTGTGAGTTTATATGGAGTCTGAGCATTCGAAATTTTTAAACCTCTATCTTTGTTCGAAGTATCAAAAAGAAATTTTAATAGCAATTAATTGATATTCTCGCGTGAATTGCAGATATTTCAGCGTCCAGAAAAATCTTTTGTATCCCTTTGTGTCTCCAAAATTTGTCAATTGTCTTATTCCTTAATATAGTTGATGATTCTTCAATAAATTCTAAAACGATCGACTCGACTATGTAAGTCTTGGAAATATTAAACTTCCGTGCAAAACCTCTCTTGAACCTCTATGACTTTTCAACATTTGATGAATTTTGAATCAGCGGTCATTGATCGTAGTGACTAAGTGGTTTGCGAATCAGCTGTATATCCGAAAGATACCACAGACGTCCTTCCGTTAATTGGAGGCATTTGCCTGATGCTTTTCAGCAAACTCAAGCACCTGGGCTTGATTCTAGATACTAGGAGCTGCCATGGAAAGCTGATATTGAGAAAAGAGTGAAGAAAGTATCAGTGACTCCCTAACTGCTGCAGAAAGATAATTGGTAAGAGATTTGGGCATCTCTTCTAAAGTAATTTCCTTGCTCTATGAAACCAAAGGGACTCCCATAATAATTAAAACGAGCCGCGCTCATTAAAATCGGGAGCGCTTAGAACCGTTGGTATCGTACGTTGCTGCAGCAAGAGTCACACTGAAAACTGACGCATTAAATGGGCACTCTAACATTTTTGGAGGCTTCTACTTTATCTCTAATAACACGAATCTATGTAAGCGTGGCTAGACTGATACCAATTATCTCTTTATCCACTCACGTACCCTCTGGGGAAATAATGGAATCGAAGGAAGTGATTGGAAAGAGACAGCGGTGAACTTTTACGCGAATGAGTCGAAACTTAAAAAAAAGGGACGGTGAAGCGGTCATTTGTGGGAAATTCTCTACTGACCTTGAATTTAGGCTTCCAGATCACTCACGGTACGGAAGTCAGATCCTTATACTCGGTTACGGTGCGCTAACAGGCAGGTGAGGAATTTCACGCCCCTCTTTCGATCACGTCTGAGATAAGCTGCCAGTGACACAAGCATTGCAGTAAACTTTGTACAGACTTGGAAAGCACCTTAGGTTCCGTCCAGCCGAGAAATGGGAGAATACCTTTGACCACATTTTAACTACACTAGAACAAATGGGACTTGTTTTAGATCAGCGAACGCTCGCAATAAAAAAAGAAATGTGCTACAGCAATGCTTTTCTGGCCATAATTAGGCTGGAGGTGGTCGAGGGATCTCCTTAGACTCATAAAGCCGCAAGTTTCATTTCTAATAAATATACTGACAGGACATTTTCCGATTGGAATTCACATAGTGAGATAAAATATGAGCAGGATATTCACCATTGCCACTGCTTGTAGTATCGCGAGCTGGAACACTTAATCGTATATAAAGTACTTTTTGTAGTTTTCTGGAAGTGAATAAAAATTTGGTTTCTCCAAAAAATAACAATACTTATGCAGATGCAGCATTAGTGATACCTCATAACATTGGAACTAAGGGGAACAAATTACACGATTCGCTGGAGGAAAATAAAAGATTTCAGATGAATTTTCTTAAACGTCGCAAATTGAATGACTTTTCTGAATTGTACCAGTTTTTCTCGAATCGCAAAATACTATTTAATTAGATACTTAGGAATTATTACTACTATTCTTGTTTGAGTTCATATTTCATATTAACAAAAAGTGCGCATTATTTGACTATATTCATTTCGATGACCTTCACGGAAAGCTGGCCAATTTAGGTTAAGTAAACATTTGTGAGTACAAAATTATGTGGCAAAAGCATGAACTGCAAATAAACTGTCTACGCTATTTGGCACAAAGCAAAAAGGGCAAACAAATCAAATTACATAAATACATGTACGAAAAAAATAATAGCAGAAGTACAATTTAACAAAAATATATAGCAAACAACCATCGTCGATGTAATGATTTCATAGTGACAATAGATGCCATTTAGCCTGTTTTCCTACAATATATGCTTTTTCTAGACAATGTTCGTATACATATGAACGTACTGCATTTATTTAGATAAATAAGCAATTACTAATACATATGTATATATAACAGTTACATGTGTACTCTCCTAATTGCACGTATTCAGCCTTCGGCCGCAAGCAAATTCAATATTGACTTCTAATATATATATATATATGTAGTTGTACAATGGCCATCAGCCGCATTTTGTCATCTTATGGATATGCTTGTGTCTCCCCTATGCTATTGTGCAGCAGCTACATACATATGTACTTGCTTGTCTCCTTCTTTGCTCCAACTTCGCTTAATCTATCTACAAAATTCTCTTATTCGCTCTTATTTCCCATCATGACCTGCGGCATTTCGTGTCACTCTAAATGATTTGCTTCCCCCATGAACAATTTTGTTTTTGGTCGACTAGATGATGACTCGATAATGAGCTGTTAATGACTTGAAAATGAGTTGATAAATATTTCTAATGCATTTATTGTCGTAATGCGAGTAGAGTACTTAATGCTGGAAGCGCTCAATATTTGTGTGCTAAGTAAAGTCGGCAGCAGGCATCAGGAGAGAAGAGGATGATTTACGGTTATCATGAAATTACTTAGTATCGAAAAAAAGCGATTTCAAAGTTGGAACTCAAAATATCGGTTAAAAATTCTGCATGACTTTTGAAGCAAAAACTATTTTTTTTTTTTTTGTAGTTTTTTAAGACCCTTGTAGAGGTTTTCTAACTGTCGTTTAACTTATAAGGTATAAAATTACTTACCGGGAAATATCCTGCTTTAGCACTAAAACGTTACTACAATTAATTATTTCTTTGAATGTATTTGGTGGACTTTGGCAGGACTTGGAATTTACCCAACTGGCGATTAATTTGGATAATTTGATACATATCGATAATTCTATGAATTTCAAATACACTAACTCAACAAAATTCGATAACTCCACTAATTTTGAAGAAATTGGATAACAGTGCCTTTCTAGAAATCGATACAAGTCGATATATGTATCTCGATAACTCGGTCAACTTTGGATTCGGTATATTACGGTATAGATATCAAATGGAAGGTCTTTCAGAAAGATATTTAAGAACACTTTCATCAAAGAATATTTCAACAAGAGTTTCCACGTGGTCAAAAATTTAAAGTCCATCTGATATATGAAAATTAATGCGTGTGTGTCACTCTAATAGACGATCTTTATGAAATGTTTACAGTAGGTTCCTGCGGCCCCTAGGTGAAAAGGAGGATATATATTATTTTGGGAATTTGTTTTAGTTCGACAAATTCGTTATATCGCCTCAACTATTTGACGCAGATGTTCAATATTTGGTACATACAACCCTTGACTAAGGATATGTATTATTTTAGGAAAAAAGGCTCTCCAGCTATTTGGTGCTGATTAATGATATTTAGCAATTAATGATATTTTGGAAAGCTGGGCGTAGCACTACGCCTCATGCAACAAACCTGTTGGCGTTTTCTTTATTAGCGCATCACGGGAAAACATCTGAGCCAATTTAAGCGAAACTTTAAAGGATTTTAGGGAAATACACAAAGACGGTTGTTGTATACTTTACTCCAGTGTTGGGACCGGCGGCCTATTACCTGGATTAACCCATAGCATACTTTTTCCCGGTAGATAGATCAGGGACCCATCTACTCGAAAAAATCGCATTCATGGTCCGGTTTGTTTGAAATTTTTTTTCTCAACTTGCATTAAAATAGTATTTGAATTAGCGCTCTCCTACTGGGTTATTTCTTTGTTAACGCGGTGAACTTTCGTATATACCTATATACATATATGTATATGAACATATTTATATATGTAATCGCTCTTTTGTATTTACCATTAGCTTGTTGACACTATCCAAATCACATTTGGAAGACAATTGCCATAGCATCCTGTGACAATTAAATGCAAATAATTGTAATTTATTTGTTGTTCCTGTTAATAAAAGAACATTTAGCGATAATTATCACATTTCTTACTTCTCCTACAATCAATTTTACTTTGCCTTTCCTTTCTTTTGTACTTACAGGCCTACGAATACGAGTTGCCGACTTGTTTTTTAAGTTACTAGCATGTGTTCTGTATATACTACGTGTGATAACGGATACGAATCCAACATTTGCAACATGGTAAGTAAAATAATTGATATTTTGATAGAAAAATAAAATGCAATTAAAGCAGATAAAAGAAAACTAATAAACGGCAAACTGCTACTAAAGAGAGAATAATTTTAAAACTTAAATTGAATGAAAAACTACTAGAGAACTAAACCAAACTACTAGAGAACTAAAATAAAAGTACAATACGATTGTGCAAAACCTGAAATTTACTTTCATTTGAATAAATATATTATTCATTTACTATATTTTCTTCTTCTTCTAGTTATGGCTGCTCAGTGAGCAATAAAACCGAATTTCTCGTTTCGGCTCAACTAACCGAAGAGGAATTCCAGGAGAATCCTATAATCAATTGGGAGGCTATATTATGGGTGAATCGGCCCACAGTGCTGTGGGCAGCGCAATTAATTTTAGCATTAGTATCACTAACGGAGGCCGTACTACTAACATATCTAGGCTATAAGGTAAGTAAAGGTGGAAGTCAATGAAATAAGGAAAGTAGTAAAAAGCACGAATAAGATTTTGCCTTGGGTTGGCGGTTCTACTGAACCGATTTTAAAACCAAAAACACTATATGAAAGGTATTATATATATAGTGATATATTTCCTGTAGCTGCCAAGAGTTTTTATGGTTTCAAAAATCATTAAAAATACGACCACAATCGTAATGTCAAAATTTCCGTATTTTCTGGTAGTTGTTGTTGAAAGCTCTTCAATGCTAGCGTGCAGAGCTTCTTTAAGCCTTTCATACAATTTATATAGACATGCACAGGTCAAAGCTCTCTCAGCCCTTTACCGTTTTAAAAACTTATATAGCAACCCTATTTTTATACGTTCTATATAAATTTCTAATATTTCTTTTTTTATTCGCAGGGAAATATCTGGCAACAGATTCTTTCGTTTCATTTCATTCTAGAATTAATTACGACAATACCATTTGCATTAACGGTAAGTAGATACATACATAAAAATTTAACTCCTACAAAGTTAATCAAATAAAAATATTTGTATAAACATATTTTTTTTTGGAATTACCTTTATAATAAGCTTTTCATTGTTTTCTGATATCTACACATAATTTAGGTTAGGGAAGCTTAAACTGAGATGGCTAAGGGTCTTGGCATTAACACATAGCTTAGCTATTCTTCGGGACCAGCAGCAGTGTTAGTGAACCTAGCAGTTTTCTTGGCAAACTAAGTAAAATAACCGTTTGTGCCCTCATTAAACGACCGCTTACTCTGTTTTTGTTGTTATACCAGCATAAAAAATCCGCTAAGAGTTTCGGGAAATATACTTCACTAATAAACAGCCTTGGAGAGATATAAATCTAAGTCGTTCCGGCTACTTAGACCAGACTTTTCGGAGCAACGTTGCACCCCCGCTTCGGGTGGCCTCGGAAGTCTGCTCATTCGTGCTGTACCTTCTGCGAATATTATCATCAGTTAGACAAACTTAAAGGCATATGATTCCAATAAACAGAGTCCTGATAGTTCACCAACTAGTAGTCTAGCGTCTTCCCGCTTAAGACATAAAATAAATTTTTGTAAGCATGCTGTCATAAGCTCTGAGCATAGCTCTTCAGACTCGGCAACGTTGCGTTTTATATTACACCTTTGCTCCTTTTTATTGCTGGTAGGGAAATCAGCTCCATGTCTATATTTTGTGCGTCTGTTTTTTATTTCTATGTTTCTTTTAACCTTGTTTATCAAGCCTTCTTTACATCCATTGTTTTTTGCGATATTATATATTTTGTACGCTTCTTTTCTTAATGGCGTTCTTTCAAGTATCGTTATTAGATGTCTAAACTCTGCATTTTTCCGCTATTGGTCGAAGTAGTTTACTATTCATTGTTTCGCGCCAGAAGACAGATGATATCAGCACCATATCTCGCGTAGGATCCTGCTCCTAGTCTAGTCGTAAAGCCTCTCATTTGTATCTCCCAAGGACTTCAGTTGAGAGTATCGGGTAGACCTTCTTGCAGAAGGGATTCGCTGTTGGTGCCTTTCTTGATATCGATGGGGCTTTTAATAATATTTTGCCTGACGCTATAGTTAACTCTCTAAATAACTAAGAGATTGGAGCCGAGCTTGTCAGATTTATTTACCGCTTGCTTTGCAACAGAACTGTCGCGGCAGAGTGAGGCAGCGCTTTACTCCGGATATGTGTGAGTAGAAGTGCCCCACAAGGGGTGTTCTTTCATCGCTGCTTTAGGTCATTGTCGTCAAAGACCTTTTAGAGGCTCTGGAAATAAGTGGATGCCTATGCTGATGAATTTAGTATTGATAACAAATGGAAAGTTTCTGGAAACGCTATTTGAACATATGCTGGCTGATTAGAACTTAGTTGAGAATTAGGCTTCTAGTTGTGGGCTGGGTGAAAATCCCTGTAAAACGGAGCTGGTTATTTTTACCAGGAGGGTTAAAACGTTGAGTTGCCGTCTTCCTTCAATGGGCCGTCTTCCTCTAAAGCTCTCTGACAGGGTGAAGTAATTAATTATGCTTGACAGTAAGCTTTAAGAAACTATAATTAAGTCTATTTTATTATATGGGGTACAAGTCTGATAGAACCCACTTGACAAGGCCTTCATCGTCAAGCAGCAGGTTTTACTACACACATTCCAGCGAGAGAGAACTGGGAAAAATGCAGTATCTGGAATCGGGGGTCCTGTAAACATATTTACAGATGGATCGAAGCTAAATGGGAATGTAGGTAGTAGTTTCTTTTGAGAATATTTCTCCAGCAACCTGAAGTTTAGGCTACCGGATCACTGCAATGTCTTCCAGGCAGAGGAGGCCGCAATAAAATAGGCTTCAGATTGGTTTCTCCGTACCTTTAAAGGAGGTGAATATTTATTCCGACAGCCAAGCAGCTTCCAAGGCACTTGGCTGCTTGACGGTGCGTTCGAGCAAAACGAAGAATTGTTTGACTTCCTTATCAAACGCACCAGGTTACTTCGCTATTAAGTTTATTTAGGTTCAAGGTTCCAGCGAAATCGCTGGAAAATTCATATCCGTTGAGTTGTCAAGGCATGAAACCCTTGGGGAAGTACTTTCGGATAGAGTAAGTCTGCGTGCTTCCCTGACCTTGTGTGGTCTACCTCTGAATAGACTGGCATTTTGGCCAGCTCTGGGCGTAAACTTTGGAATGCAAGGTGGGAAAATCTTTTCCGCCCACGTGTAGACCGGAGGCGGTTGAGACTAAGTAAACTAAATTTCTCGCTATTTGCGGGATTGCTAACTGGTAATTTTTTGATAGGTAGGCTGCTCTGGTGGCCTGCCTTTACGAGCCTAAGGTTTAAACACCTTGAGTCGAAGTTTTCCACACTGCCGATGAGCTTTCAGGAATGAACATCAGTCGCTTGAAGAGCTTCGTTGCGTGCATAGGTGTCGTCACTCTTCCTTACCTTTTCTTGGAAAATAACCTGATTTGGAAAAACGGTATACAGAGCCGTAATCTATGATCCAAAATTAAGTTTACGTATCTCGGCGTTTTTTTGCGTCACTTCAAAATTTGAGATTTCCCCTACAGTGTTATGTCTCTCATCGGACTTGTTTGTGTATCCTGGGTACTTATTATTATTTTTTTTTTGCGTATTGTGATTTTTAATCATTGATAGGGTTTTTGTAATTTTCGCAAATTTTGTTTAGATGAATATATGTATTTCAAGTTTCATTTTCGTTATATCCTTCGCAGATACTATGGTCGCCTTTAAGAAATCTATTTATACCCATATTCCTCAATTGCTGGCTGGCGAAGAGATCGTTGGAGAATATGTTCGTAAGTATCAAAGATTTGTAAGCTAACAACCGTAAATCAGCCAAATTATCGTTAATAATATAATATAAATTTATAAATTTCTCTAACTACTCTAGAACGATCTGCATCGTGCCATGCAGAAGTCACAATCAGCGCTCTCCCAACAACTCACCATACTCTCCGCCACACTGTTGTGCCTGGTGTTCACAAGGTGAGTATTAGTAAATCATTATATAAATAGGCAATCATGTTTCCTTTACACCCCTTTTACGGCTAAACTATACTTCTAAGGTATAAACAATTATATATCATTAGAAAGGTATTTTGATGCTGGTGTGCAGGCAATTTTTCAAATTTCAAATTAGTTTAAAATAGAGCGAAAAAATCAATTCAAAAGTCACACCAATACCAATGCCATACATGTACATGGTTGGGGCGGAAATGCCTCCTAAATGTATGCTTTTATATTGATACTGATTAACAGAAGTAAGAGAAACCGAAACATGAAGACAAAGAGAAAGGTAAATTTAAATTCTTCATAGTATACATATGTAATCGCAAAGATGTGGGTGAATATGTAGATGGAGAAAAGAATGAAGATAAAGATCTGGTTAAAAGTTAAGGAAATGATAAATATAAAAATTAAAAGATAAAGATATAGAAAATAATATATGTAGATAAAGGTAGAGACAAAGACAGAAAAAGAAAGAGATACAATTGAAGAATGACATGTTAAGTTATTTTATGTTATGTTATGTTGTGTTATGTTATGTTATGTTATGTTGTGTTATGTTATGTTATGTTGTGTTATGTAATGTTATGTAATGTTATGTTATGCTATGTTATGCTATCTTATGTTATGTTATGTTATGTCATGTTATGTCATGTTGTGTTATGTTATGTTATGTTGTGTTATGTTACGTTATGTTGTGTTATGTTATGTTATGTTGTGTTATGTAATGTTATGTAATGTTATGTTATGCTATGTTATGTTATACCGTGCTAAGTCATATTATGTTATATTATCTTATGTTATGTTATGTTGTGTTGTTTTGTGTTGAGTTGTGTTATGTGGTGTTGTTATGTTATTTTATGTTATATTCTGCTATGTTGTTCAACGCATTTCACCTCAATTCAGTTCAATTAACCCAACCCGGCTCAACTCAGCCCACCTCAGCTCCCCTTATTTTAAAAGGTTGAATTTCAACCGCTGGGCGAACACTAGTAGTAAATAAACAGCAAATCTGGTGTCAGTCGACAAGTCAAAATGACAAGCGATTTTCTGGCATATTTACCAATTTCTTAAGAAATAATAGGCGAATTCACGAGTTGTAGTTTAACAGGTGAAAAGTTTCCAAAAACATATCGTGAATTCCCCTTTTGTACTTTATCCAGTGATACTTAGCAATAAAAAATCTAATTTAAGTATCTAAGAGCCTTTTTATGACTTTTTGCCATCAAATTCACTACATGAAATCGTACTAAAAAAACACAAATACACACGTATGTACTTCTATGTCATATGCGCAATTTCAGTTGCTGCTTAAGTCAACTGCTTTTGCATATTTATTCTCCTGTTTTTGACCCGCTCGACCTCTCCTTATCATTAACAACACTCATTGATACTAGTCCTTTTTTGTACTAATTTCTTCTTCTCTTTCTACATATCTCATCCTTCTACATTTCTACATTTACAGCGTCTGTGGCATACAGCATTTTCAACGCGCCGGTCATCGTCATTTGAATTTGTTCCAGAGCACGTATTATGTGGTTGTGACATTCTCAACAGTCGGTTATGGCGATTTCGTGCCCGATATATGGCCTTCACAGCTTTATATGGTGATTATGATTTGCGTAGCACTTATAGTGCTGCCAACGCAGGTGAGTAACGATGACAATATGTAGTTCGCATGTACGTATGTACATAAATGTAAGCTATGCGTAACCATTTACACATAAATACATGACACCGATGAGTTTAATAATACACTAACTGCCAATAACTAAATGTATAAACACAGCCCAATGCCCATGTACCAACACTTAGTAGGTATACGTTTAAATGCTTGAGCATCAATTTGGGTCAAATTCTTTTTATGCTCCTGAATACTTAGTACGTCAAGATAATAGTCCTTTTATGCATTCATTGATATTTGCATTGAATGGCTCTGACAGTGGCGGTTTGCGATAATACGTAAGTGCTCTTAATTAAATATCAAACCGATGCTAAATAACTTACATATGGATGTACTTATATGTATGTATATCTGTGCATCTAAATATGTATGTATTTGTGTATTTATGTATATTAGTGTGTTTGTATTATTGTGTTTGGCTTTAAAATTATTTTAAACGCCAAAGCGTATTACCAGTAAGCCACTAATTTGCTTCGACATTTTAATTATTTCTGCGAAAATCGCGTGCTAATGCAATTTCTTATTGACGTTTAAAAATTGCCGGTAATGTTTTGAAAAATTAAAAAAAATGAATTATCTAATGGATTCTGTTGTCACAAGCATTTTTATCAGAGACATAACTATTATAAGAGAAAAGAATAAAAGTCAATCAATAATCATTATATCAAGATAAATACTTTTCGAGTCATCTATAATTATTATTCAAGGACTTAAATTATAAAAGTCCTTTCATAATAATTGCCAGATAAATAGATATTTTTTAGCCTTCAAAGACTTTTATTTTAAGACTTATGTATATTATAAAAGTATTTTCATAATAATTATGAGCGCGACAAAATTTCTTAAAAGTCTTAAAATACGGATTAGTTGGGGACCAGTTCGATCCTAGTTGGGGAGTAGTTTGGAACCTGTTGGGTCCAAACACTTGTTGAGTAATGATGCTGAAGTGACAGTCCTTGGCCAGATATAGATCTGGATCGGTCCGGTTACGTAGACCGGCCTGTTGTGAGAAATCTAATTATTCTTTCTGCACCCACTGACACCAATGGCAAATGCCAGGTAAAGCCAAATCCCTCTTTAAATACTTAGTCATTTCATTGCACATGGGGCTAATAGTTAACCCTTCAAAAACCGAACTAGTCTTGTTCACAAGGAAAACAAAGGAAGTTCCCTTACCAAAGCTGGGCAGGACTAGTCCTAAACTTTCCTCCGAGGCCAACACCACAAGGTGTTATCCTTAACTTCATACTTACATGGAGGCGCAATGTATAGGAAAGAGCAGAGAGGACCTAGTGGCATATTGTACCTGTAAAAGGGCGTTTGGGAAAAATTTGATGGCCTCCGTGCTGGGTTCCTGGGTCTAGACAAGGCTGGGTAATGTAAATTAGCGAATCGGATAACTCCTTACTGCCACCGATTTCTTTTCTGCTAAGGCGGATTGAAAAATATACCGCAGCCGTAACTAATGACATATGTATTAATCGGGGTGACTGTGAAATCTTAAGATCGATAACACTAAACAAATCTGCAATAAGGGCTCTTACCGATGTCGTAACAGGGCACTGTGCTATAGCACCAATGCTCCATCGATGGCGTATACGAGCAAGCTCGCTTTCCAGATATTGCCGCGATGACGACGTAGAGGAATCGATTCACCACTTCTTATGTCAATTCCCAGCTATCCAGACCAAGCGTCTCAAGCATTTGGCATCACGTTTTTTCAATAGCTTAGGGTAGATAGCGGCTGATGAGAAACTATTGGTCCTCCGTGGTTTCATCCGGTATAGTAAATGGTTTGACAGATCCTATACTGATAGTATGGACTAACCTCAATTAGAAAGATGTGGCTCCGCCTGGCACTCATAGGGGGCATTCACAATTGATAAATCCACCTTTGAGTGGAAGCATAAGCCATTCGAAAGCGTCTTCTAACTTAATCTAGACTTATCGTTCCATCATCTGCTGATCCGTCGTCGCCAACACGTAAAATCATACGTATTCTGCCACTTATTTCGACCTCTCTGTGCAGCTCACCTTGTCGATCCCAAATAGCTAGTGTTGCACAGGATCTCACTGTGGTCGTGCAAGACGAAATTTTTTTCTGCAGCGGCGTGACATTACTTGCCGTACCCGGTTTTCATTCGGGCTTGCTGAAATCCGACTACACGTTATGATCTGTTCTCTCAGGAACCAGGTGTGCGAGTCGAGTGCCGACGGTGCGGGCTAGCTGTTGTAATTAACTCTTCTCGGCGTTAAGCTCCCCTTTAAGCGCTGGGTGTACACCATTTGCTGTGGGGCACTGTAACTATAGTACTGTAGCACTTAACACTCCTTGTTAGTAAAATGAAAAAGAACCAAATTATTTGCGTTTGTGTACCTTGGCTATCCAGAGATAATGGTTCGAGTCGATAATTGTTCCTCGGAACGCACGTACATTCAAGCCCCTGAATGCGTGGTTTCTCTCAATCATAACATGCTGGAAGCTGGTACCGAAGGCTACAATGTTTTGGGTTTTGGCGAACTCGAGCAGGCTCTGTCCAATATTGAACGTTTCGTCGTGATGGCTGAATTTTTTAGTCGCTTTGAGCTACTTACGCATAACCATAATTGCTTCGCTTCTCGACCGTAAGGTGAACAACGCACCAAAGGCTGATGTAGCTTTGCTTATTCGGTGGCCAATAACTTCGTCAGTGCCGCCGCGGGAGAAAATTCACTGACAAATGTCTCACAGCCTCAAGGTTTTAGTCGGAGACTACCACCTCACCACAAGTCTTTGCTGGCGTATCTATAAACTTTAGCGAACTCAAAATGGCGATGCGCCAAAAGAAATACATACATATGTCGGCAGCGTGGTTAAAGTGCTGCAGTGACCATCAAAGTCCCCAATGATTTCACGGCAGTCTCCAGCACATTCCCATCACCAAAAGAAAGATGAAGCTGCAGACGGCCCAAAACACTGCATTTCGGACAGCGACTTGATGTCTTCTGATCTCGCCAGAACACCACCTGCAGGACGAGGCGAATATGCTCCCCATAAAGAAGCACAACACAATGCTCTGCAAGCAATTCCTAGTAGGGAGCCACAGACGTGGACACCCGAACAGACACTTCTTGGGGCTGCCGTTAGTTGAGCTTGACGACAACGACTGAGATATTAACCGATCTGGGCGGGTTGTTGTAGCCGCTACAACAACAACAGCAACAACAACCAAACGTAAGAGAAGAGGTGAGAGTAAGCAACCTTCTCGAGTTTGATAATAATGCCATAAGCCCACTGATCTGAGAAAAAGAAAGAAAGAAGAAGAAAAGAAAAGCTATCCCAAGCAATGCTAATAAGTTTGGATGCCGCAATTCAGCGGCAAATTTTTGGACAAACTTTTCATACCCCGCTGGTATTCTATCAGAGCCTGCTGCTTTGTTGTTTCGGAACGCATGGCGCATCTGGCTTTATATGGGCGTTGGTATTCAAACAAGTCAATCTCTCTGCAAATGTGGTTCAGAACTGACGCACAGTAGATGTTTTTGGGGGAAATAAATTTTAAATGAAAATTAAAACCTCGCTACTACAGACTATGTTCCTACCGTGTCAGGGTGCAATGTCTCTTACCCTTGTGAGCATTGTGTGCCCGTACTACCTCCGTAAGTACTTCGAGAAGGCGGACAGTACGGTTTTATAGGAATATAAGTGTAAGTACTTACCAATTAGAAAGAAATGGATGGATCCAACAATGAAGAAAATAACTAAACAAAGCGGGTTGCATTTACCGTATCGAACTGGCTGTTAGCCTTCTTTATTTATAATAAAGTTCTTAATCTGATTCTTAACTAATACATATACAATGATTATTTATAATAAAATCCTTAATCTGATTCTTAACTAATACATATACAATGAAAGTTTTTTGTACTTATAATTTAAAGCTACGTACTAATGCCGAATTTCCACTTGGCCTTAAAATGGAAAAAAATGTACGCCATTTCAAAAATGTCATGTGGAATCCGATATAATAACCATTTTTATAAACGCCCAAAATTTTCAATAAAAATTGTGCCATTTAATGCCTAGTGAAAATTCAGAATAAGTTTCAATAAATATGCATAAATTCTCTGCAATATTTGCGCAATTTACTTCTGTCGTGGTCCAACAATTTACTTTTAAGTTAAGCCGAATTTCCACCAGGCATCGCAATGACAAAAAATTAGCATATGCCATTTAAAAAATGTCATGTACAAATAGACATAATGACTATTTTTATTAACAAAAGGCGCGAGTATTTTTAATGCTCAACATTCTCATTAAAAATGTTGTCATTTAGTGCCTAATGGAAACTCAGTATTAGAGTTTTGCATATAAATTTTCATATCTAATAAATTTTTTATATTTTCCAACAATTTTTTTGTTTTTGATAATTACACATAATTATATTTAAATAATATACTGCAAAGGCGTGATAAGGTAGCAAATATGATGGCTGCTTCCTGTCATGTTGATTATTATCGTAGCGAATGACGAGGATATGGCTCGCATTTGATTTGTTCAATAGCTTTATGATCGCTGTGGGAATACTTCATTCGGTTTGCCTTTTAGTAGCTAAAAAATCTGCTCAAACCCGCGATATCCCACCAGCAATAAATAATTCCGTGGCATTCTTCTTCGCTCAAAATGGTCCCTTGATCCAAAAAAAAAACGTGTTTCTTTCTCATGGCCTTTGGAAGCCTTTAAAGAGCCACATTATTCTGCACTTTAAAGGCGTAAATACCGGCTGACATTGTTGGGCTTGTTGCCACTTAAGTATCATTTAAAAGTTGCAGAGGATCGATGGCGTTAAGCCACTATCTCTTGTTTTTTATTTGACGATTTGGGCCAGTTGTCCACCTGCTCTTCGCAGTTGCGCCAGTTGTTTATTACGAGTGCGGAATGGTGCGTCTTTGCGTTATTTCGTTGTCCATCCATGGGTTCCAGGA